GCTTGCAAGATGCGGTTGTTTATGGCATTCTGATTTAGTTGTAAACTCTTCAGTGATTTTCTTGTTCCTATAAGAGCATTTGAGTCAAGTTGCCTACCTCTGGACTAAGATTTTGGTTTTAAAATGTGAGCAGAGTACCGTTACGCTTATTTTGACTTAAAAATACCTCTTAATTTTCTGAGTTCCACAATGAAGGAATGAGTTAGGTGACACTCAGATAGATAGAACGTGGTTACTGTAGGACACTTGCTATACTGGATCAGATCAAAAATTTACCTTGTGAAGTGGTTTTATCTTGAATAAGGAGTAACTAGTTGAGGAGTTAGGTTATTATCTTTATTACTAAATATCATCCATCCTTGCTAAGGCTAAGGAGCTAGTCCCTGTCTCACATCTCAAGTCCTGGAGACTGATGTTTTTATCTTTTCAGTTTAGGATTTAATCTCACAGGTGCAATTGTTGAACTGCGTTCCTTATTTTAAAAACTGTTTTGTCATTTTGACACAATACCAAATACTTGCTTTTGCTTGCCTAGTTCCTCCTAACAACTCTACTTTTAATGATTAGTACATATTCAGTATGTGTTATCTTGGAACTCTCTCCAGTATTTCCTGATTCCTTTAGCTGATTTAGGACTCTTCAGTTAATGCCTTCCGGCATACATTGTTCTGAAATGAATCTGATATGCTGTCCAATTATTAAATTTTTACAGTTATTCTTCTAAAGATAATTTTTATAGTTTTCACATGCTGTCACCATGCTATTAAATGTCTTTAGGTAATTGGTGAATGTGTTTTTGTTATATCCTGATCTGAGCCTCACTCAAATGGTACCATGCTAGTTTTACTCCTATGATGTTACTAATTGACTATTTCTTATTAAATTCTTCTGCTTTTAAATCCATGAAATTACTTCATTTCTTGCCCTCTGATTACTTGTATAACCACTTCTAATTTTGTATTCACCTGTGAATATAGTCTTGCAAATTAGCTCTCAGGTACTTTGGTGTAAAGCTGGGAGATCACTCTGAACAAGGGGAAACAAAGCATGGCCAGAAGTACTGCTCTCCTCTGGCTTTGCTGAGGATCTACTTAGAGCTGGTCAGCAAATCTCTGGCTGCCATGGTCTTGTTTCTCTTAACTCTGCATCCTTGTCTTTTAAGAGCTTTGTCCCTTGGAAATGGCCTCTGTTCTCCTTTGTTCATGTGCTCTTCCTAGGCAATGTCCAGGCTTTGCTTCTGAGTATTAGTGCAAAGCAGAGTGGCCCTGGTACCCAGCCTGTTCAGTGGAGAGGCAGTGTCTGTAGTTTCCTGTTTCCCATCTTCTCCAGTGTGTGTTGAGCTCCTTCCAAGTCACTGTTCAGAGCCCTCCGAAAGTCTTCCTCAAATCAGTGCTTAAAATATGACTTGGTGAGCATGGGAACTGAAGATAAGTATAGTCAAAAATTGCTGCAATCGTACATTGAAACGAGTATTTTCAATGCGGTGAGAGCTGGCAATGTGCAGTATCTTCAAAAAAGCCATCTTTATTTAGCACCTGTTGTGGTTTAACCACAGCCAGCAACCAAGCATCACACGGTTGCTTGCTCGTTCTCCCCTGGTGGGATGGGAGAGAGAATCACAAAGGTGAAAATGAGAAAACTTGTGGGTTGAGATACAGTTTAATAAGTAAAGCAAAAGCTATGCATGCAAGCAGAGCAAACCGGGGAATTCATTCATTGCTTCCCATGGGCAGGCAGGTGTTCAGCCATCTCCAGGAAAGCAGGGCTCCGTCATGCGTAGCGGTTACTTGGGAAGACAAACACCATCACTCCGAGCGTCCCCCTAGCTTATATACTGAGCATGATGTCTTATGGTATGGAATATCCCTTTGGCCAGTTTGGGGTCCCCTCCCAACTTCTTGCGCACCCCCAGCCCACTCACTGGCGGGGTGGTGCGAGAAGAGGCCTTGATGCTGTGTGAGCACTGCTCAGCAGTAATGAAAACATCCCTGTGTTATCAAAAAAAACCCAAAACAGGGCTCCATAGCAGCTACTATGAAGAAAATTAACTCTATCCTAGCCAAAACCAGCACAGTGCCTTATTTTGAGTACTTAGATTGGGAGAGTGGAAAAATAAATGCTGAATCTAAACCTTATGCCTTCTAATATCTAATTCCTTTGGAATAGCAACTCTTATAGTAAAAAACCCTAATATTCCCCAGATAGTTGGGTGAATTCTCTTCAATCTGCCCCCTCCCCCTTTTTTTTTTTTTTTTTTTTTTTTTTTTTAAACATGTATTAACTCACCCATTCTGGTACTAGCGAAAACTCTAGAAGCCTGATTTCCTATTTTTCTTCAGCCAGTTTTGTCATTTTTAGTTGCACACATTTTCTTGGTATGTGCAGTGTCTTTTCATTTGATCCATTTTCTTGGAAGTGCTATTGAGCATAGAGGCACAATAGATTGTATCTATCTACTTAAACCTCTGTCAGATGAGATGTAACATCATGAAATCGTAGAATCATAGAATGGTTTGGGTTGGAAGGGACCTTAAAAATCATCTAGTTCCAACCCCCCTGCCATGGGCAGGGACACCTTCCAGTGGATCAGATTGCTCAAAGCCTCATCCAGCCTGGCCTTGAATACTTCCAGGGATGGGGCAGCCACAGCGTCTCTGGGCAACCTGTTCCAGTGCCTCACCACCCTCAGAGTGAAGAACTTTTTCCTTGTATCTAATCTAAATCTCCCCTCTTTCAGTTTAAAGCCATTGCCCCTTGTCCCATCACTACACGCCCTTGTAATAAGTCCTTCTCCAGCTTTTAAGAAATCTGAATCTTAAAATACCTGGTCTCAAATTAGGTGTCTTTCACATAAATTCTTGCATTTAGTGTTGTGCTTTTTGCCTTTTGGAAGAATTATGTTGGTCGGACAAGGATATAAGTATAGGCAGCTCGGATACAGCTGTGTTTTGAAACAATCAACAGGTTTCATGGGACTTGAAGTATATAACTAAATCTGAAATGCACGACAAGGAACTTTTATACAGTATTTTCATCCTTGTCTAAATGCTTCAAGAGTGTGAAAGAATCACTGGAAGAGGATACACAGAAAATACTGTTCTCTGTACCTCTGCTCAGGATTCTCTCAACAGAGACCTGAGTTAGCTTTGTGTCTGGGGAGGTGTGTGGTTTTAATATAAAATCACAAAAACTAATTTCTGCTTAAAGAATTAATTTCCTTTAAGAAACCTGAGAGATTAGAAGGTTAATAAAACAGAAAAATATCTAAATGCTAGATTTTCCTTTACCTATTTTTCTGTTACTCAGTATTTAATAGATGATTAGTTAAGCGTCATTTTACATGTATAATTGATTTATTCATAACTCTACTGGAGACCAGAATTAAAAGAATGCAGTAGTATTTGTGGGTGGCCAATCAGAATTATGGTGACGTAAAGGAATGGAGTTGATAGATTGTATCAGAGGGCTTTTGATATTGAAGTGAAAACTGTTTTATGAAACTGCGTATAATTGACATATTTTGAGCAATTATGAGAACTTCTCTTTCTCAACCAAATGTTATAAACAGCCTATTAATTGAAGTAAGTGTAAAATTAAAGTTGAAAGGTTTTGATATAATTAAAGACTACTATGGGAGACTGAGGAGTTATGCGGTACTGATACAAAGGAGGAGGAGGAGGAGGAGGAGGAGGATTAAGAACGCAACATTTTAAATATTTTTTGTATGTATATACACACATATATGTATTCATATAAATGTAGAAAAAATGTGAGATGTATATTTTAAAAAATAAATGGTGCGAATTACTGTATTCTACAGATTGTGCTGAAGTACTTTAATAAAAAACATTGTTCAATCTCATTCAAGTACTAGAGGGAATTTCTTTCTGCCTGAAGAGTTTTCCCTTTCTTCCTGAAGCACTTTTGGAGCTCTGCAATTCCTGCTTTAAGAGAGCTTAATTAAATAAGAGCATATTCTTTAGTCTGTGTTGTCGTGTATAGTCCGAAAGGTAAATCAGAAAACGTTGGGAGAACCAAACGATGTCACGCACTTAATTCTTCAGAACAGAGAACTGTTACAAGTTTGTTCATGTAATCTCCATGTAGCTGTGTTATCTTTTGAGAATTCTTTACTGGTTGTTTTTCTCTGCATCCAGGTGTTTGTGACCAGAGTTTTGGAATACATGTAGCAGAGTTGGCAGCTTTCCCAAAACATGTGATAGAAAGTGCAAGAGAGAAAGCATTGGAGCTGGAGGAGTTTCAAAACATTGGCAAATCCAAGGAATCTGAAGGAGAGCCACCAGCCAAGAAATCCTACAGAGAAAGAGAGGTTTGCTATCAGGAATGCTTTTCTCAATTTGTTTAGCTGGAATAGCCCCAGCAAAACAGTTTAAGGATTCAGATTCCCCCAAAGCTTGAGGATAATTAGCTATAATCTCTTTTTTTTTTCCATAATGAAATGTTTAGCTATGAAGTTCATTAGGAGTTGAAGAGATGTTCAAGGATAGTGGGTTTCAGTTTAGATTCGTTTCAAGATAACATGGGCAAGAATCTTATCCAAGAACAGTGATGAGAACAAACTAACTAATTTTTTTCTTAAAGAATAACAATCAGCAGTTAGTATGATTGGCGTAGAACTGGAGTCACACAAGGGACCATGTCTCTCCCTGTCCTGTGGGGTTTTCTTTATGCCATGAACCAAGCCAGAATTTTCTCTTCACAACTTTTGTTGACTACTTAGTGTGTATGCGATATTTCTTGTGACTTAAGCTGTAGTTTCTGTATGAATTGTTTAGATTATCTTGGCTCCGAAGATGGGTTGCACCTGGTTTTGCTCCCCCTTATTTGAGGGCTCACTAATGCTGATTTCTTGAAGGTCGACATTGAACATATTCAGATCTGTTCATATCAGAGAAAAGCTGAGTACACAGATTTCTCCTGTGTGCCATTTCATGTCCCATCAGTACTAAGACATCTCACAAGCCGGTCATATTGAAGGGTATGGCAATTTGGGCCAGGAATGTCTGATGTACAGATGTCATTAAGTTCTTCCCATTTCACATGTGAGAATTTTAGCTTGGTTGTCTCTACTCGACTGAGAAGGAAAATGTTCTTGGCTTTACACAGGCTTCAAGCACAAGTTGAGGAAACCCACATCTCAGCATAGATCTGATCATGTCTACATTGCATAATACAGTTGTGTAGGGCCATTTGAGTGAACTGTTTTTTCTCGACTTCCTTCACTTTCTCTTAAAAGAAGCTTCATTAGCAGGTAGTGTAAAGGAAAACAGTAGCTTACAGGAAGCTTTTTCAGAACAACCTGTGTCCACTTGCTGGTGGATTAAGAGTCCTTACAGTGACATCTGTTGCAGCTTCCTAGGAAATCCACCTGCTGCCTTAAAACTTGCGTTGTTTTTTTGCCAATAGTCACATCCTCCGTGCTGCATGCCTCTAAATCTGCTTACAGATCTTAATTCTGTGTCCCAGCAGCTGGCCTGAAACTTCGCAGCCTTATAACTCTTTTATCTCCTCCTGTACATCAGTGGCAGTCTTCATAATACTCGAATATTTGGAAGCCTTGAAGTGTTAGTCCATATCCAAAGCACTCCCTACATTTAAAAAGCTTTTACTCTAGACAGAGGCTGTTACTGTTACCTGTTACTTTATTTTCAGTTTCAGAGGTCTGCTGCATTTGTTCCTGGCTCAGTAAGTGGATCTGATGATGTGGATGAACAATCTCTGCTTCATCCTACCTGTTAGTGCCAGGAGGTTCTCCCTCCAGCTATCTCAGTTGCTCCATTGTTAACCTTTCCTTCACCAGCTTGCTAAGTTTTAGTGCCAGGAGGTTCTCCCTCCGACTACCTGAGTTGCTCCGTTGTTAACCTTTCCTTCACCAGCTTGCTAAGTATCATGGTGAAGAATTTTTCAGATTAGTTGTATCTGACTGGGTGGTCTTAAGTTGGTGTAAATTAAATTGACATGGCAAACACTTCTGACAAATACAGCATTATGTTTTATTCTTGGATATTTCAGTAATATGTAATATTTTATAAACTCTCTAGGCAATAGAATGGCATAGCTTTAGATGTCTCACCCAGGCAATTTGTCTGCCTTCATTAGCATCATGTTTAGAGGGAAAAGTGTGCTATTACATTTCAAAGTCCTTTGGAGGCTTCTGCCCTGAAAGCACACTGCATTAGTCCTAAATGATAAAACAAAACTATGAAACCTTTCTAGTAGAGTTCCAAAATGCAAAATGCAGGGAACTAAGCAAAATTCTGTATTCTGGGCAAATTTATTTCGTAGAATTTAATAGAATTTCTAGGTTGAAAAAGACCTTAGAGATCATCCAGTCCAACTGTCCATAATCCCCCATTAAACCATATCCCTAAGCAGTTCATCCACCCTTTTCTTAAGCACATCCAGGGATGGGGACTCAACCACCTCCCTGGGCAGCCTATTCCAGTGGCTGACAACCCTTTCAGAGAAGAAATTCTAACATCCAACCTGAACCTCCCCTGACTAAGCTTATACCCATTTCCTCTTGTCCTGTCACACATCACTAATGTGAAGAGCCCTTCCCCTACCTCCCCACCATCCCTTCTCAAGTATTTGTAGGCTGTAATCAGGTCTCCCCTCAGCCTCCTCTTCTCCAGGCTAAACAGCCCCAACTCCCTCAGCCTCTCCTCATAAGTTTTATTTTCCAGCCCCTTGACCAGTTTAGTTGCCCTTCTTTGGACTCGCTCCAGGAGCTCAATATCTCTCTTAAAGCAAGGGGCCCAAAACTGGACACAGTATTCCAGGTGCGGCCTCACCAGTGCCGAGTACAGGGGCACTTAATGGTTTTTAATACAGAGATCCTGAACACTGTTCCTTGAAATGTTTGTTCTTGCCATTCAATTCAGATTGTTTAGAAGTTCCACTTTGCCTGTTTGTGTAAAAGCATATGCATAAAGCTTAATTATCATCTGTTCTCCTTGGTGACGGCCACTTTCCAGTTGCTTGGTTACAATTTGTTCTTTCCTCTTGCATATTGAAACATTGGGTTTGATTTACAGTTCCTCCAAAAAGTAACTAGTTTGAGTAATATGGCTGCTCTGATGCTATTACTGCTAGCAGTTCTCGCCTAATGTGCTTGCACGCTGGAATTAAATGTGGAACACACATAGGACCTCTCAGTGTTAAAAACTATTTCTGCTGATCAACTGATGCTTTTTGCTCCTGGATTGTAGGGGGTTACCGGTATAACTGGATTGTTCTGGTGTTGAGAACATGATAGCAAGTGCAAAAATAATGGTGGGTTTTGCCTTCAAAAAGTTTCTGATGATGAATACTACTTTGTATCTTTGGGGAATTTGGAAAAGTCCTGCTTGCAATCTAAACATCCTTTCTGTTTTCTTTTCCTTCTCCTCCCTCCATTTCAGGAAGGTGAAAAGATAATTCAGGATTTTCTTTGTCAAGTGAAAGCATTGCCCTTGACAGATATGTCAGAAGAAGACATCAAAATCAAGCTGAAACAGCTGAGAAATGATGTGTTGGCAAAGAACAACAGTTTTGTGAATGAAATAGTTTCCCGAACGAAGGTTACATCATGAAAGGTGCGAGAACAGGATACAGCTCTTGAAGCACGTTTTCCATTGCAAGAACTATAATTTTCTTGTCTTGTAGCTTTTATACTTTATGATACTTGTACTGATTTATGTAGACTTTTTTTTCTTGGATTGTAATTATTTTGTAAAAAATTCTGAGCACATTGAGTGCCAGATTTCTGCTTTCGTTATGATGATTGTGTCCTTTTAGAAGTTTTCAATAAAATGCTTTTTCAGTATCGAGAGAATTATTGACTGTACAAACAAAATGCGTAATATTTTATCAGAAAGAAGTGTGCTAGAAAGTATAACAATTCAGATGGCATATGACTACCACAGCCTTGAGAAGCAACAGCGCGTACACAAGACCTTTGTCCTATACCTTGATTCTTTTCTATCTGATGCAATTACGTTAATTAATTCAGCGAAGTTTTAGTGATGCCATATTAGTGCTCCATTAGAAAAAAAGGCATCTAATCTAAGTGATTTGTCATAAAGCTTTTGCCTGTGTACTGGTGTGAAGGTGGGGGGCAGGGGGATTTTTTGTTTGCTGTGTGGATGGTAATGCTTGAGTCAAATATGCTACAGGCCTGCTCTTCATGCTCGAGTGGTGGTAACTCTTGCATTTTTTTGGTGGTTTTGTAATGTAAACAGAGGCTGGAGCGAAGTTACAGTTTAACTGGAACTTCTGAATTGGTCATGATTTGTGAGGTCTGTCTGCAAAGAAAGGACATTGATTTTTATCCAGTATACGTCTCACAGTGAGGCATTTTGAAAGCACGCAGATACAGGTTTATATTCTTGAAATTTAGCATTTCAAATTGTAGCTCTAGAATACTTATATTTAAAACTGTCAGTGTTGAAAGATTAATAGGAAGAGGCGTTTATTGCCTGAGATTATAGGAATAAACTGATGCAGAAGATGCCATGCAAGCTCTTGCTTGTGTTCTGTAGCAGAGATTGCATCAGTGGGTGTGTGCTGGGGATGGCAGTGCTGCTCTTCAAGCTGTGCTGTAGCTCTTCATCAGGGATTGATCCGTTGCAATGGACTGCATTTAAATGTTCCAACAGTAGCCGTAAGAGGTTTATTGTTCAACTTGCTGTTGGACAGCATTTGTTTGTAGCTAGCTACAACTTGGAAAAGAGACATACTTCTCAACAGAAGAAAATAAGAGTTTGGTTTGTGAAAGTGGTTCAGGTTTTGCGTAACACCTCTTTGGTCTTTAGAATGCATTCTACTTAAAAAGACAAAACCAGGCTTGAATTTGCACAGTCAATATGTGTATCCAGTTTCAGTAGCTGTGTCTGGAAAGTGTGTGAATGGAAAAATCTGTTACATAAAATAAGGAAAAATACAGATGTTTTTGCAAATTAATTTGGTTCAAGCTATTCTAAAATACAGAATTATACAAAAAATATATCCACGTCAGTGGTCAAGAGGAGCTACAGATCTCATCCATCTGGACTTTTGTAAGGCCTTTGACACAGTCCCACACAACACCCTTCTCTAAATTGGAGAGAGATGGATTTGATGGGTGGACTGTTTGGTGGATGAGGAATTGGTTGGATGGTCACAGCCAGAGGGTAGTGGTCAATGGCTCAATGTCCAGATGGAGACTGATGACAAGTGGTGTCCCTTAGGGATCTGTACTGGGACCTGTACTGCTTAATGTCTTCATCAATGACATAGTGGGATCGAGTGTACCCTCAGTAAGTTTGCAGATGACACCAAGCTGAGTGTTGTGGTTGACACACAGGAGGGACAGGATGCCATCCAGAGGGACCTGGACAAGCTCAAGAAGTGGGCCCATGTGAACCTCATGAGGTTCAACAAGGTGAAGTGCAAGGTCCTGCACATGGGTCAGGGCAACCCTTGATATCAGTACAGGCTTTAGGATGAAGGGATTGAGAGCAGCCCAGAGGAGGAGGACTTGGGGATGTGCACCTGCAGCCCAGAAAGCCAGCCGTATCCGGGGCTGCATCAAAAGAAGCGTGGCTAGCAGGTCGAGGGAGGTGATTCTGCCCCTCTCCTCTGGTGAGGCCTCACCTGCAGTACTGTGTTCAGCTCTGGGACCCCCAATGTAAGAAGAACATGGACTGGTTGGAGTGGTCCAGAGGAGGGCCACAAAGATCTGAGGTCTGGAGCACCTCTCCTGTGAAGACAGGTTGAGAGAGTTGGGGTTGTTCAGCCTGGAGAAGAGAAGGCTCCAGGGAGAACTTATTGCACCCTTTCGGTAGCACTTAAAGAGGTCCTATCAGAAATACGAGGACAGATTTTTTAGCAGGGCCTGTTGGGACAGGACAAGGGGTTTTAAACTAGAAGAGGGTAGATATACACTAGATAAAAGGAAGACATTTTTTATGATGAAGGTGGTGAAACACTGGAACAGGTTGCCCAGAGAGGTGGTAGATGCCTCATCCCTGCAAATGTTCAGGCCAGGTTGGACGGGGCTCTGAGCAACCTGATCTAGTTGAAGATATCCCCACTCACTTTGCGGGGGAGAGGGGTTGGACTAGATGATTTTTAAAAGTCCCTTCCAACTCAAAACTATTCTGATTCTATGATGAAATAGACAGTGAAAATCAATTTAGATGATCAAATCCTGCCATGACACACAATTTGTACTAGATCAAACTGCTTTAACTGTTGCTAGAAACAGGCAGTTCTTGTGATTGGAATGGCTGGTACTTACAGCCTTTTCCTACATAATGCTGAGGTATCTGTGCTCTGATCAAAGATGCCCCTTGCTCGTTCTGTCACTAACTGTGGAAACAGGCATAAAACCATCAGTGGTTTTCTCTTCCAGAAACTTCCCTGTTTTTCCCCTTGACCCTGTGTGAACTCTCCATGTGCACAGCACTCTTAGCCAAGGAGTTCCTCACTGAGCTGCCACCTGCAAGTAGGACCACTTCTTGTTTGCTTTGAACCTGATTCCTCTTGGTTTTATTCTCTAAAGTGTCTGCTCTTTCCACTCTGGATGTGGTGCATCAGTACAGCATGACTGCAGTATGCTGAGGAAAGGCTGCTTTTATTTTTGTGTTGTAGCTGGAAGCTGATAGAGCTGCTCCAGTGTAACCACATTTGCCTCTCCCTGAGGGTGGAAGCAGTACTGGTGTGTGTTACTGGGGAGTGATGGGGTACCCTGACTGGACCAGCTCCAGGCAGCATCTTCTCTATGCCTCTAAAAGGGAGTTCTGCGTCTGCAACAATTAGGTTTCAGTTTTTCTCATGCCCTTTGACACTCAGAAGGAAGAAAGATGCAAATTAATAGGATTTTAGGACGTATTTTGCACTATTTTCTCTTTTGCACCGCACTTCCCGCCCTGCCCCCCTTTTGAGTGTACTGCTGCTGCCGGATATAAGCAAGAGAGGACCAGGCAGAGTTTAGTCTCCATATGTCAGTGCTGCTTGCAAACTGGGTTACAGGTAGTGTGATTCCATGTGAGCAGGAGAGTGGCTATTTTTGCTGGTTCTGATTTAGCTTTTCGTTCCCAAATGCACCTGTGGGACAGGAGCCATTCCAGAACTTGCCTGGTTATTACAGAGCTGTGCCAAGGACGCAAAGATTATCAGAGCTCCAGAACAAAATGATGTAGCTGTTGAGGAGCAGTGAGGCCACTTACTGTCAGCCTTGAATAAACAGGCAAAGTTTCTCTTTGCTTGTCCTCTTGACAAAGCTTAGCACCTAATGCTTATGCAGGTGTGGTCTTTTTAGTCTGTGCTCTTACTGTTCATCTAGAAGGCTCTTTATGAAGAAAACGGCATTAGGTGGGATAAAAGAAAAGAGCAGACACGATCAAACTCTGAAGAAATTATTTTCCTTTCATCTCTTTGCCACCCACCTCTTAGCGATCAGGAGTTCAAGCAACTGGCTTGTGTGCAGGAGCACCTGGTAGCCTGCCTGATGAGAATATCCTGGGGTTACCTCTTGGGTGGTGGCCAAAAGCTGGTGAGATGCTTGGAGGTCAGCAGGCTCCAGGTAGGGTTGGAGGACTGGAGGATGAAGCTCACAAATCCAGGGAAAGCAGCCTGCCGGCTCTGGGACTCGGCTCTGCCTATTCCTACTTGCAGTTGCGCAAGTTCATCTCAAATAATAATGCAGTCGATAAATGGCTCTGTATCTCTTTCCTCCACTGGAGCTGAGGTGGTTTTGGAATCAGGAGCAGCAGGAACACGACCGAGATGAGTCCTTGCCCACTGGCAGATCACTGAAGCTGGCCTGAGAAGGGTTTCAAGCCTCCGAGAGATCTTCAGATACCTGCGATTCAGCCTCTGCTTTGACCTGCTCGTGAGAAGCAGGTCTGTTACTGGCCCGGGCTTTGCTGAACATAATGACTTTGCCCTCACTCTTAGTGTCTGTAGCTGTTCTGGGTTGATGACCACTCTGTAAGTGACTGGGAGTGCTCGTGGTCCAATTTTTCCGGATTTAGGGAAGCCTGCGTGACAACTCATTGCTCTGCTGGAGGAGATGCTGCCTTTGAAGCTCAGCTGAGGCCTGGAATTGTGTGAGTGGTTTCATCTGATTTGGTGCAAGATTAGGATGAGAGTTTAAACTGGTTTTCATGGCATTTAATGGGTTTTCATATATAAATATGACCGGTACCTAGGCTGGGAGATTTCTATGGCTGCAAAACCATGTGACAATTTGCCTTACTATTCTGCAGTGACAGATTTATTTGAAAAATCAGTGGACAGCAGTTGCTGCTTTGCATCCAAAGTAGCATAAGGTGACGCATTGAACTCTGCATCTAGCTGACCTCTGGGAACAAGGAAAACAAGCAGTCATGGGAGCCTGAAGCCTTAAAAGACAGTCGGAGAGGTGCTGTCACTTCTGTCTGAGATGGCTGTGACCCTTGCAGGTAGAACTTGGCTCTTGATGCTGCCCGTTTTACTGAAAAAACCTTGTTTGCAGTTTTATCTCGGGTGCTCTTTTTCTTCTCCCAGCCTGTTGCCTTTCCCTGCCCTCCTGCCACTGTTCCAAGCACCTTGCATTGATATGTTTTATGTATGTGCAAGTTGTGGATTTTTTTAGCTATCAACAGTGTTTTTCTATTCTTTGCACAGGTAGGACTGGAGTAGAAGTATGCCTGCATGTCTATTCTCTCCTAAATCCAGGTTTGGATCAAGGCTTAAAGCAAAAAGGAGCCTCCCATCTTAAAAGAAGCCCATCCAG